GACTCTCAGTGCGAAGTTGTGATGTCATGTGACGTCACGGTATCAACAACGTTAATAGATCTAGCGACGTCCTTAATTTGAATCTACGCGGTGAGTCACGTGACGTCACGGAGTCACGTGATGTGACATTACTTGACAGCATGTCTTGACATCATGACGTCACGTGACGATGTGACACATGGCTAATCATAGTGCCAATAAGAAAGCGCCGCAGAAAACCAGGATTTATTATACATTGCAATTCTGTATATGACGATTTTATCAATATAGAAATAGAGCTGCTAGTTTTTTATTCCCAAATAATAAATTTGTAATACTAACAACAACAAAAACAAATACCGCGAACCGTTTTGAACCGGTTACCGTTATATTTTTTTCCAGTTCAGTTCCGGTTCCGTTCCAAGATGGCGGCGAAGATTTCGGTTCGGTTCAGTTCCGGTTCGGCTAAAAATAACGGTTCTGTTCCGGTTTTCGGTTCGGTTCGGTTCCGGTTCGACACCCTGCCTAGGGCACGTGGTTAGTAACGAAGGCGTCCGCCCTGATCCTGAGAAGACTCGCGCCGTCGCGCCATTTCCAGCATCCACAGACAAGAAGGCCCTGCAAAGATTCGTTGGACTGTGTGCGTACTATCGGCGCTTCGTTCGTGATTTTGCAAGAATTTCCGCACCGTTCACGAACCTCACAAATGATGCCCAAAAGTTCGAATGCGCCGAGGAGCAGCAGCAGGCTTTCGACGAGCTGAAACGACAACTCCAGGCTTCTCCGGTGCTTGGACACCGGAGGACCCTGGAGCTTGGATCAAGATGCGGAAGCCGAGATTCATACGGACGCAAGTAACGCAGGACTTGCCGCGGTAATGGTTCAAGTGCAAAAGGCACCGAGCGAGTCATCGCCTACGCAAGTCGGTCACTGTTCAGAGCGGAAATAATTTACTCCACGACTGAAAAGAAATGTCTTGCGGTCGTCTGGGCAGTCACGACATTTCGCCCGTTCTTGTACGGGAGCCCATTCCGCGTTGGGACGGACCACCACTCGCTCTGCTGGCTGGCGAAGCTAAAGGACCCTTCAGGACGCCTCGCTTGATGGAGCCTCCAACTGCAGGTGTTTAACATGACTGTGGTCTACAAGTCACGCCGCAAGCACAGCGACACCCACTGCCTGTCCAGAGCCCCTGTTGAGACATGTCCCGGTAGCAGCGACGACGATGACGACGAGTGCTTCCTAGGCACAGTGAACACCGACGACATGGCACAACGTTAACGGGACGATCCTGAGTTGCGCGCACTAATCGAGCACCTCGAAGGACGAGGGGGTACTATCCCCCGTGTCTTCTCGAGAGCCCTGCCGACCTTCGTCCTCCAACGAGGTGCACTTTACAAGGAGAACTTTGGCGACAACAGCTCGCCATGGCTGCTGGTAATCCCTACTGACCTTAGAAAGGAGATCTTCCAAGCCAGTCACGACGACCCGACGTCCGGACATTTTGGTTACAGCCGTACGCTGGCCCGACTTCATGAAAGCTATTACTGGCCCAAGCTCCCAAAGACCGTTCACCTCTATACACGATCGTGCCACGAGTGCCAGCGACGCAAGAAACCGCCGACGAAGCCGGCAGGTCTCCTGAAGCCGATTACTTCCCCGATAGCACCGTTCCAGCAGATCGGAATGGATCTACGTGGTCCTTTCCCACCATCGAGGCAAGGAAACAGATGGATAATCGTCGCCACAGATTATCTCACGCGGTACGCCGAAACGAAAGCCCTTCCTTCTGGGACTGCTGTCGAAGCCGCCATGTTTTTCATCGAGTCCATCGTCCTCCGAGCAGGGCGTTCCCAACGTTCTGATCTCAAACCGAGGATCATCCTTCATGGCCCAGCTGACGCAAGAAATTTTTCGTCTCAGCCATACTAGCCATCGTCGCACCACTGCGTACCACCCGGAGACCAATGAACTGACGGAGAGACTAAAAAGATTATCGCCGACATGATGTCTATGTACGTCGACGTGGAGCACAAGACATGGGACGAGGTGTTGCCGTACGTCACATTCGCCTACAACACGGCCGTTCAAGGAACCACCGGGGTAACACCCTTTCAACTGGTGCATGGTTTCAATGTAACGACATTGCTGGATGCAATGTTACCCTACGAACCGGCACTCCAAGAAAGTGACTACGCCCAGGTGGTTGCCCAACGGACAAAAGACGTCCGTCAGCTCACCAGACTTCGGATGAAAGCCCCACGACGTGTCGACACTGGCCGCTACAACCTTCGTCGTCGGGACGTCCACTTCCAGACAGGATATGGGTGTGGACACCGATTCGCCGCCGAGGTCTCGGCGAGAAACTCCTGAAGCGCTACTTCGGACCCTACAAAGTACTTCCTCGAATCGGTAATCTGAACTAAGAGGTGATTCCCGACGGAACACGGACTTCATCACGCCGCCCTCCACGACCGGAAGTCGTACATGTCGTACGCCTCAAGCCGTACTACGATCAATAGGACTGTGAATTGTGTTTCGTAACACGCTCGATCGGATTGTGTTGTACAAGTTTATGTAGTTTGCCATTATTTTTGTTTGATTGTTGTTTTGTTTCCCACCACGTCGCATCGAGACGATGCGCTTCTAAAAGGGGGATTAATGCCACGCGCGTCGCTGAGCAGGCGCGTGCTTGGCCGAATGGTTTCCGTTCTTGACTGTCGTGCGAACAGTCTAGGTTCGATTCCAGTTAGCGGACTGCCCTTTTATTTATTATTTAAACTTGGCGTTCTCTTAAGTTCGAAAACATTCTCGTCTGATCGAGTTCCGAATGTTCTACGCGCCGAATGTTCTAGGCTGAATGTTACAGAGACAGACGCGAGTACAAAATGTGCTCCGCGTAGCGAGCCGGAGTCAGTTTCGCCCCAGCGTTCGACTCTGCTGTCACGCCGACTTCGACGCCCGCCGACGCTCTGCTTTCTTCTGTTCAATTTTGATTTTTTAGGCACAAGTTCGCCCATTAAATGTTTTAGTTTTCCCATTTATTCTTTGTTTCACCTTGTCATCCGTGACAATATCAAAACACTCGAGTTCCTGGCATCGCTATCGTTAGACTGTAGCAAAACATATCAGGTACTCCAGAGTTCTCTACAACGGCGTGCGTGGCACGAGCACAATCGCATAGCTTAGAAGGTACCTTCCTGACGTGAGTTCTTACGCGTAACACAAGACCCAAGGAAAGCAACAACATAAAAATGTGGTTTAATGAAATGTTTAAGAAGCGCTATGTTTACAGTAGCATTCGGGGAGAAGAAAAATGATTGAAATATCTAGAGCAAAAATAAAACTGAACATTGAAATTTGTTAACTGTTTGGAGCAAATTATAAATTATATTGTCTACACTATTTTGTATAATTTGTTCGCATCGCTATGCTAATAAAAGTTCTATCGGACTACAAGCACACTCGATAGCACTCTTGGTTTTGGTTGCCTTTCTGCACGCCCCTCGGTTTTTATACTTATTATATACAAAAAAAAAAAAGAATGACGACAACATTCGATCCGCCAAACAAGATAAATGACGGTTCTGTTCCCACTAGGAATTCAAATAAGGAAAAAAAGAAATCAAGTCCTTCATTCATAACAAAGTTTGTTTATCCGAGATAGCCCGAAAGACAAGGCCGCGGTAACCCTGAGCAGAATGACAGCGGAAAACTCGGAGGAGCTAAGCCACGTCACGCGGCCGCCGAAACAAACCGACGTGAAGGAGGAACGCCGGTGTCGTGCGCAAACATTTATGCTCGCCAAAGGACGTGCATCGCCGCCCTGGTGGTTAAACTACGGCCTTGCTCAAGATGGCGCCCGTAAGACCGCAGCCTTAAGTAGCCTAGGCGGCGATGCTTATCAGACGCGCGAGTCACGATGCAAAAAAACATAAACGTAGGCGCGCGCGCAAGCTTCGTGAGTCATCACACCTTCTGCTTGAGTCCGGCCTGGGGCCTTACACTCGTCAAACACAAAGATTGAGCAGAATGTTCGCGGAGCGCGCCGGTTGGACGTCGGCGAAAAAGGGGCGAAGTCATCGTTGTGATAGGCCAATTGGTGCGCTCCGTCAACTTTGGCCCCAACTTTGTATTTGATGAGTTTAGAGGCCCTGGAGGTGGTCATCTGACTTACCATCTCTTTGTTCACTCTAGGGGTGTCATGTGACAAAATGTCCGGGCCTCGTAGCCATCGACGCGCTCCCCTTCCCATTTTCCCTCGCTTTTCCGACGTAATAAACGTGTCCTACTACTGCCGCATCATGTTACCTCCCGTCACATGACGTAAATTTCTGCGAGGTGGTAGTTTACAGAACCAGTTTTGCATGCGTTACCGAAGAGTAACCGATTACAATTACAATTACTTTATTGAAAAATGTCTGATTACAGAAATCAATTGCTGCATCTCAGAGGTAATTGAAAAATCATCAGCATGTAATTTATTACTTTTTACGTTACTTTTCACGTCACCAGATAAGGTAAGTGCAGAACATCGTTTATACCGCGGGAAGCCAGGATCGTAACAACCCTTATAGAGGAAACGAGGCACTCTCGACTGCTCTAGACTCAAGACGTCGCTGAGCGCGTTGACATTCAAGTCCTTCTGGTACCTTGTATCTTTTTTTAGTTGTCTAGGGGTCAAAAACGTGTCAAACATTCGTCCAGCATAGACGAGTGATGCACGAAGAGACATGGCGATTTTTTACGTAGAAAAACAACTCAATATTTTTAGCTCTTTTGAAAACATAGAATTGATAATATGTAATTCAATTTCCGAAAACGTTACAGCAGAAGCAAAAATATTAATTGGAGCGTTAAAAAGGCTCAATAAAATTTACTTGATTACCGGTAATCAGTTACTTGTAACTCGTTACGTACAAGCCTGCTTTGAACGCACCCTGTGCTCCCTTGTTTTTCTCAGCATGATCAAATTCGTTTTTTTTTTGTTTGGTTATTGTTTTGTAAGGTTGTTTGAGTTCCTACTCTAGGACTGGAGGCATTCTCAAGGGCTTTGGTCGTCTTGTAGTTGTGGGCTTCGTTCGTTCGAACCTCCTTAACTCGTACACGAAGACCCTGGAGTCGAGGGTTGCTATCTTCCTGAAGAAGCCTGAAGCCTCAAAGGTGACTGTAAGACTATCGACGACGGTCAGGTTCTTGTCTATATTGGCCAAGACAGATACAGGGAAGAACCAGAGTCGGTGATTGTTGACTGGGTGATTGAGCCAGAAGGCGAACCATCCCCTTACATACACAGTGGCAGTCCAAGGGAAGTCCTGCGAGAAAAGTCGGTGGGAAGGTTGGGTTGACTAGGGTTTCCTGTTTTAGGGTATGTACCGTTATGTTTATGCCTAGACAAGGCCGTACCCAACTTACGGCACAGTTAGAGGGACAGTCCGCAATACGGATAGCCTCCTGACAAAGACCCGGAACCGAGGCTTTCAAGCACCTGCTTTAGCTACCAGCATCAACGAGACATCCGTATCATCCTTTTTTAACATTAAAATAAGGTGCTGCTGCGAGGACATAAACCTTCGGGCCACTAACAGAGGCTGCTGGACGTCATCTTCATCTAAGCCATCCGCCGCCGCCAGTCACAAGGAATACGTCCTCTACACAAATGTCACATCACCGCGGCTATATAAGGGGTGACCCGCGGACACAGGATGGGACTTCGAACGCTACTATAAAACTTCGTGTCTGATTAAACTTATTTATCTTTACAGCCCGAACCCGGTCTCAAACTTTAGCAGTACCGGTAAATCTTAGAACTTAACGTCTGCATCTTTTACATGGGTTGTGGTGACGTCAGAACAAAGCCGAGCTCTGATTGGCTCCGAATGAAGGATCGTGGCTAGACCTCAAGTCAGCTTGCTTCGAGGTCTACCCACTATCCTTCAATCAGAGCCAATCAGAGTTTGCCGTTCTGGCGTCACTACAACCCCGTGCAAAAGAAAGCAGACGAACTGGTGTTCTGCATAGAGTTTCACTTTAATTTCAATGTAGCCAATGACGCAGAGCTAAAAGTGCATCATGATGGTCCTCGTCGTCGTTGAGAATTTGCTATCACCTACTGATCCAAACACACATACTGAATATGGCGTGATCCTGGACTTTTTATATGCGTTTTTGGTTTAGTCGGTGGTTACAAACGAATGAAGACGACGAGCGTAATGACAACGTACTTTTGGCACTGCTTCATCGGCATCATCGGATCGGATCGTCGGATCCGGTAGAACGTATTATAGAACAGATTATAGAACTTTTTCTTTTTTGAGTACGGATCCCCAGGTGGCGGGTTCGAATCCCGACCGAGGTGCCCGCAATATGACAGAGGCTTATTTCGGAGAAGGCGCCGTGTAACCGAGCTTTCGGTTGCACGTCAAAGGATCCCCAGGTGGTCCAAATTAATCCTCAGTCCTCCGCTGGGGCGTGCCAGATGCCCGTCGTAGGTTTGGCACGTAAAACCCCCAAATTTGACTTTTCCTTTTTTGAGTTCTCACTATTTCCATTGGATACTACTGTTAAGGCCACAGCGTTAAGGAGCTCGTGTTGCAGAAAAGCCAGTATTGGTGTCGGTGGCGTGAGACGAGAAAATTCTCATTGGTCAATAGGGTCATTACGTCACTGTCACATGACCTCGCTCGGTATTTCAAACAAGCCACGACGTTCACGTGAAACCTGACGCCACGCGTGGGATGAAGGTGATTAAAACATGACATGCAATGCAAATTAGAGGTCGCAATATGTCTCAAATGATTTCTCTTTATAGCGTAATTAATTTGTCTAAAAAACATATTCGAACAATTGTTTGGGCGGGGGTGGGATTCGAACCCACGACCCTTCGGTTGCGAGCCACGCAGACCCTTATGTTTTCTTATTTCAGAACAAGAAGAAGTCAAGTAACTTTAAAAGCTCTGCACGTTTTTTGTAGAACAAGTTAAAACTCTCGCATATCAAGCTGACTCTGACAAATGCCTAGCCAGTCTGGCTTAGGCTGGCACTTAGAAAGTACACTTTACTCTTTTTCTACAAAACTGAAGGAATAAAACCGCATTTGTTTCACATTGGGGTCGGCATGCCTGACGGCCATGCGCGAGCGCCGTGTGCTGCTCAAACCCCCCCGCAGCCCCCCCCCCCCCCCCCCCACACACACACACAAATCATAAAGTTCAAGGTTATTGTTGATGACGTCGAGGAACCGGCTGTCTTTCGGTTTAATACTTAATTCCCTTTTCAATGTTCACTGGATCACATAAAACACTAAAAAAGAAAACAGTGTGCCAGCAAAAAAGAAAAGCATGTCCTATGGTATTGTTTTCTTATACAGAAGATGCAGTGAACCGGGCCATGGCACATCTATTAACTTTTGTTAAAAAAAAAAAGAAAACCTTGACAGGCAAAGTGCTTGGATGCAATTTATAAAAGAAAGTTTTGACTGCGGGTTACATACATGCGCTTGACTCGCTTGAGCACATCTTGTCCTTCATCACAAACGATAGTTCGACACAGAGTTGATGCAAATAAATTCATGAGCAGATCGCGTCTGAGCTTTTTCTTACGCATTACAGGAAGATACTCGAAAGAAAGAAAGAAAGAAACGGGATGACAAAAATATATTTCTTTCTACCACCTCTTTTTGAAAACCAGAGTCTTCTTGGTTCTGCATCACATGACGACACAAGAAAAAAAAAAAGGCAAATGACGTAACAGTTTCCTTTGAAAAAGCGTAGGTATAAAAGGGTGCTATTAATCTCGAAAAAGAAATAAGAATATCCACACCAACTGTCGAAAGAACGGGTGCGTGAGACTCAGGCAACCGTCACGTACTCGATAAAAGAGTTTATTTCGCATCATCGGCTTCAAGGTCGCGCTAAAAAAAAACAAAAAACCTTCACAAATACGTGGTGAAACTTCTGCACACTGACACGCGCACAATGAATCGCCTGCAAAGCACGCCACTACTTTCCTATGTGTCACAAACCGTCGCTCTGGCAAAAATGGACAGGTCGCGCCTCATCCGGTGAGAAGCGCTGGGTATGCGATCTTAGCAATTGGTCTTCAAACACTGAAGGCGTTGTGGCCCACGCCCCATACCAAAACCCCCGGCACTTTGTCCAGTTTACTATACCGCCCACGTGGCCTCACAAAACGATTTCGCCAACGCTTTGGTGACGCTCCCCCCACACTATTCCTCTCATTAAAAATCAAACTGCGAAGTCATTCGTATAGCTCGGGATTTTTAACACAAGCTTGTACTCGTCGGCAGCAGACGCGCCATTAACATCAACAAAAGAGCCCCGGCCGACAAGGGCCGTTGTGCCGCTCAATGGGATCACATGATTCTTGCGACCGTAGTGCTCGAAAGATGGAAGAAGAATACTAAGCCATGCAGACATGCTCGAACGGCTTACGAAGGAGCGAGGGTTTATATATTTATAGCATCCTCGATCATCCGCACCGGTGCGCACCGGTGCACTGAGGTGCGCCCCGTCGTTTTCGATAAAGAGCACCGGTGCGCACCGGACGTCCTTGATCAACGGAGCGCACCCTCCCGGTGCAGCTTTTCGTTGCCCCAACGCGCACCGAGAAAATCGACGGTGCGCCGGTATGCAGTCCCATCTGGCATTGCGGCCAGGAGCGGGAATCGAGGAGATGGCGGGAATAGCACACGCGCAGTCTATCAAAGTGGCGACCTTGCGAAAACAAACACGCCTCGCAGCTGCACTCGATTAATTCCTCAGCTCTTGTGAGAGCGAGACGACGAGCTTATTACCATCACCGCGATTACCGGCAATTGCTGCGGTGGCAAGAAGCGCCCGAAAGGCTATGAACTTCGTGAAAAGCGTTGCGAGGTGTTTCGATGACACTGAGGTGCGGCCATTATGTGGTGGTTCTCTTTCTCAAACCAAAGCCCCGTCTCGAACCAACAATGATGGGCAGCATATACCGGTGAAATATTTCCCCGCTTCGTGACCCCATCCAAGATCATGTCCACGATGTTCATTCGTGTGGGTCCGCCAAATCCGTGAGTAAAAAAAACAGGAGAGATTGACACCAGACGGGCACCGCGCGCGGGCCTACGCGAGAAAAGCGAACAAAATGCGAGGCGACGCATGGTGGAGCTCGCCGCGGTGCACCGCCGCGGCGCAGTTTGTCTTCGATGTCGCACCGACTTCGTGCTGCACGACCGAGGAGCGCTGTGCACTGTCCAGGTTTCAGGGCGATTCCGGTGCGGGTTGATCGAAGATGCTATTAGCTATCGCGTTCCACCATTAAAGGTGAAGCTGAAGCGCCCTCCTGTAACTTTTACAATTGTCACTACAATCAATACGAATGACGAAGCACATTCCGCTGGAACAAAATGGCGTCGTTCAGCTCTGTCTTCGGGTGTGCTCCGGCATTTGCTTCCTAAAATCTGCACCGTGACTCAGTCGGTCCCTCAAAAAAATGTCGCGACTTGTAGGAAGCCTTTATTTTGGGACTTCATTGCTCAGGTAGTGGGTATGTTTTCGGGAGGTTGGTGAGTCTCATGCCCGTTCCTGGTTCCCTTTCGCATAAACCAGATAAACGCACATTTTATTTTTGTCTGAAAACCAAATAGTAACAGCGCTCCCCCCCCCCCCCCCCCCCCCCCCCCGCGAACCACAAGATATCTAGGAAAAATATATTTCCAAAGATACACCCCCCCCCCCCCCCCGAAAAAAAAAAAAAGAAGAAAAAGAAAACACATGCGCAAATTCGAATAAAAATGACTCCTTAAAGCACGAAGCCCTGTGTTTTGTTTCAGCTTATGTCCAGACTCAGGAGACGCTACGAACCAATCAAGTGAAGTCAAAAGCGCAAGTCACTGGGTCTTTTTTCTTTATGATTGGTTCAGCGATGATTGAACACGCAAAGAAACGTGACGAACACCATGACGGTGCGCTTTTGACGCTGTCTGATTGGTCCCATCAACTCGTAGCGTCGTCTGCGTCTGGACTCAAGATGAAACGTAGTTCGAATCGCATTGTAAAGAACTCCCAGAGTTTGACTAAAATAAATGTAAAAAAGTGTGTGATTTTCTGTATTAGTAGCTGATGAATAGCAGACAATATAATATAAGGCGTCTTTACACAAAATGCGTATCATCATTCGGATCCACCAAAAAACGGCTACGGTCCATTTTATGCTCAGCGGTCATTTTATACAGGGCGTCTCTGGAAGTTAAGGCTAATTTCCTAATACAATACGTATCGCCAAGAAAAAACAGGTTAATGGCCCACTACATTCTGGAAGGGGCCTATTCAGGAAAAGTAATTACGTTTATTATCATTAGGCTCTTAATGCTGTTTGTGTAGCTAAAGTGTGAAATGCACCTTTTTTTAGTAAACGTATGCGCATGCGTACATTCTGTCCTCTGGCTTGCTTTCCTCTGTCGCCATTTTCGGAGTGCTGCGTCCCGCAAGACCAACATAGTCAGCTCCCATATTTGCGCGTATTTCGTCTAGTTTAACGATTACTTTTTGAGCATCAGATAGTATGAGGCATCGAGAGCGGTGCAAACCGGCACAATGGCACGCTGCCAATATGCTGATATTGGCGGCACATGTTGAGGTGCCCTTCATCTGTAGTTCGCAGACTATTCCCCTGAAGGCACTTGTTACTCTAAGACAAATTGGTGGCTAAAAACCCCCAAAAAAGGGCCAGGTCAACCACACAGGCTGGGTCCCACACATCATGCGACCGCCCGATTTAAAGGGGAGAGCTGCAAATCATCATCCTCATCATCATCAAGGTACATCATGGTGTTTGATCCCTTTGACCGCCACCAGTCTCATCGCTTAACGTTTCACTTACCACGACCTTGTTGGTGACGTACCACGTAACTTGCACCGTCTTTTTGCTCGGAACGGCAACCTGGAGTTCGATACTCAAAGTCTCAGTCTTGCTCTTGGTGTCGGATGTCGTCTTGTTGAGGGTGTAATCGAAGCTGAATCCACCGCCTGCGCTAACAATGCCAGGTACTCCGACATTAATGCTCGTCTTGTACTTCGACTCGAATCCCCTTTCCAACTTAATAGTGGAAAACTCCGTGTTTAGATAGGTTTGCTTTACAGTGTGTATTGCATCCGTCTTCTGTTCGTTTGTATACGTGGTGGTGAAGACCTCCGTGGGTCGTGTGTGTTCCCCAATGGCTTCTCCAAACTCAAAGTTACTCGCCGTCACTCGCACCTGGTACCTGGAACGAAACCCGTATAAGTGATGCGGTTGCGCTACCATTTATTTTTAGATGGACAGCTACACGCTTAGTTTATATCGCACTTGAGATGATATGGGAGAATTGTACTATCAGCACTCTCTTAGACTGCTGATAGGCAATATTACACTCTTGCGGCTTGTTCCTCGTAAATAGAAGTTACAACCGCCAAAGCCGCAGTATGAAGAGACAGATCGCAGTCAACGATCCACAACGAGGGGTAGCAGCCGTATGTACAAGGCAAAAGTGTTGCAAGCAGTAACAACCTTGAGGGCTGTTTATACTCCGTCGTAACGTCGACGATCGAGCGCAAGCACCCAATGCCTATACTCCATCGTCTTGCGCAACGTGACGTAGCGCGGCGCAACACAGCGCGCTTCCACGTAGCTCACGACGGAATAGAGCATACTGTATTCGCGTCGTCGGCAAGCGCACATCAACGGCGGTGGCGTCCCCAGAAGCTCTCGCCCGTGCGCCCATCCGCGAATCTGGATGTGTTGGAGTGTGTGAGATGCTTGTTTTTGCGACCTGAAGCTGCCGTTCTTGCCGGGTGTCTTGTGCTGTTCTCGTGTTCCTGTATTTCTCTGCACATTTAACGTTGGTGCGCTCGACTGGGCCAGTGCGTCCGTGGACGTGGACTGCTCCGAGGATGCCCTAGCTCCGAGAAGCTTCGTGGGCCTAATGAGCCGGACTCGGATGCATGCTGCGCCAACAAAAGCTGAAAGCTCGATGGCGACCCAAAGGTAAGAGTTAAAGATAATTAAGATGACCGAATGTGTGTGCTATTTATAATAATGTGTTAGTGGTACGCACCGGCAGCCCTTGCCGATCGAAACAACAAGTGCCGTCTAATTAACGGAAACGGCGAACCCTGTGAAATATCTCAAGTATTTTGCCGGCCACAAATTTTCAACTTGGGTGTCTGAGCTTGTGAACGGCAGTAGCGCTACGCGATGAAATTGGGACTGAATCCTCCATCGTTTTGTATGGTCTTCGTACAGTGCGCTACAATTTCGAACCCATACATTCAGTAATTTAGGCATCGTACGCTGTCCTTGGTTTTAGTTTCTCGAACCAACGTGAAAGGTTAGCTATGATAATAGCGCACTAACCATCTATCAGGAAGAGGTCGCTGTGGAATAACCAGTGCGTCGCTTCCATCAGAGTATCACGAAGGATGGACCGGAGTCGCTTTGCACGACTCCAGCTAACCTGCCAAGCGGCTAGCTTCAACATACTCGATATTCTAATTATTTTTTTCTAGAGCGGAGCTCTTAGGCGCCCGCTTCCGACTTGAGCGGCGTCGGCATCGCCATCGCCGTCGGCGTACACGCGCGGTACATTATGGGACGCTTCCCATGATGACGTCACACGTGACGTCACGTGTGACGTCACGAGGGTCACCAGTGACGTCATAGATGAGGTTACCATGCGTTCCATTATGGGTAAATTTCCCCGCTAAATTTAGCGGAAAAACTTCTCCGCTAACTTCAGGGGAAAAAATTCCTCGCTAAATCTAGCGGGGCATTTTCCCGCTTTCAAGGAGCTGTGGTGCTCTCTGAGGCGGATGTTTAGGCACCGCCTTAGAGAACACCACGGCTCCTTGAAAGGCACCGCTTATTCACATCTACCAGCACATTGCCGAGATTGCCGGTGCGAACCGCGCTTAGAAGACTCCTGTATATTATATCAACACTATTACTAAACATGTCGAGAGATGATTAAAGCGTACAACATCACAAGGAACAACAGTTCGTGTGTAAGTCAACCTTCGGTGAATCTGACCCGCAGCGTGATGAACTTTTGAGATTTATAGTAACAAGATCTCCTGAGGAAAGAAAGTAGAAAGCAAGTCCTACAATCAGATGAAAAAAAAATGAAAGCCGTTTACAACTTCCTGTAACGCCGGATTAGAGAGCAGCTCTTGAGGAGGGAGAGGGGAAGGGTACTGAGGGGAAGGTATATCCTTCCTCTCTCCTCCTCACCTCCTCATCCTGTCTGCTACTCCTCCCTCCGAGCGGCGTCGCCCTCGTTTCACGAGGGTCATGTGACCTCACGGGGGTCACATGACCTCTGTGAGGTCACGTGACAATGACGTAATCAGTGACGATGACGATGCAAATGTCGATGACGTCATCAGTGACGTCACTGATGACGTCATCAGGAACGATGACGTTGCGTATGCCAATGACGTCATCAGTGACGTCACGCGTCACTGAGTTATAAGTGATTTTGTGAAAAGTTCAATGGGAAAATGGAGGCCGACGCAGTTTTCGAATACATGGGGCTCTATGGGGCGCAAGAAACCAAAAACAGGCAAAAATGTGCTCCATTTTCCCATTGAAGTTTTCAGAAAATCACTTATAACTTTTGATTAAGTTATCGGGTCGGGCTGAAACTTTGGCATCTGTGTTTGATTTCTAGCGCTATTTTTGGGCAGAGAATGAGCGTTCGGAAATGACTTGTTTATTTTTGCGGTAAAAATAAAAAAAAACTACAAATTTTTTTTTTGTGACACTCTGTATGTGACACCCTGTAAGTCTGTAAAACGTCATAACACATAAACGCTCTAGTCTGGTTTTATCAAGTATATTCCTCTTTCGTTGTGGGTGTAACGCTTGGGCCGGGATGGCCGGAGCGACGACACCTTCGTTCTCGCAGGCGACTTTATTTCAGTCCCACTCAAGCAAAAAGCGCTCCCACGGCCGGTTCAGTGGCCTTTTATCAAGTCCGCACCGTAAACTGGGCATGCGCCCCGTCCCGCTCATCATGCCGATAAGATACGTTACATGGGATAAAATAACTCAAAGTAAAAATAATAATTTCAATAAACTCCCGCTTTTTGTGTAATGTTTTATGTATTTATTTGTTCGAACACTTTAAAGGGACACTTCAAAAATATTTGGAATATTCCCGTCGTGTTCAAAAATAGGTTGAATATGACCCACAATATCCGTAAATGATAATCGAATGTTTGTGTTTTGAGCCTGGTGGCTGTATTTTTCGTTATAAACGGTCCACTCTGGCAAGCGCTCGGAGAAGGCCCAGCGGAGACCACGTGACATCCAACGCAGTCGTGACGTAGGTCGTCTCAAAACGAGCAAAGCTACGGCGAGGCTGACGTCGAGAGGATGGCCTAGTCGTTCCAGCCACCGAAGCGGCTGCTTTTGTACGAATTCGGAGTGACGGGTTAATCTTCTATAATCTTGTAGGGGGACAGTAGCGACTTCTGCGACACACAAAAGGCATTCTCGGGAAGAGGGGAGTTTCTCCTTCCCCTCTTCTTTCGTCGTGGCCGGAGGCGAGACAACCTCCGTCACTAGCTGTCAAGGTTCCTAGACGGGCATTACAAGCGAGGCGTTAACGACATCCACCAGGTGCTCTTTGCTAATCGTTTAATTCGTTTTAAAATTCCTTTTCGTGACTTTTTTAACAAGATATTTATGTGTCCGATGTGATACTGCTCCTTTGAGCAGATATAGACCGTAAAATAAGCGCCGAAATTTCGTTGTAGTATCCCTTTAAAAGCCCCGGGCTGCATTTCATAAGAAATCGGTTTCGGGACAGGTCTATGGCAAATATCTCAAGCTCAGAAAAGGCTGCAGGGAGTGCTCGGTCAATATTCAAAGGTGGAGTTAGGAACCGCTTCGAACCGGTTCGCGCTTATTAAAACCGGTAACCGGAGTGATATTAGGGAATTGTAGTAGACCGTTCCCGCAGCCCGCTAAGCACCCGGATAGCGCTCCGTAATCCGCCACAAGACCTTGAACTATGCAGACAAGGCTGGCGGCGCGCATGCGCAGCTGCGGCGTTTTCTTCGGGGATACCGTAGCGGAGGAGAAAAACGATCTACTACAACTCCCTATTACGTGCGCTACCCTAAACCGGAACCGATCCGGAAGAAAATACAGTACTACTGAACCCGAATCGAACCGAAATAATAACCGGTTCGACACCCTGGTTCAGGGTGATGGGTGGGAATACGAGGGTGCAGCCGCTACCAACGTTTATCTACAAACGTTGGTCGCTGCAACCTGTAGTTTATATTTGCGATGACTTCGAGCAACTCGGCAGTCGTATAAATGTTTACAGACGACGTAAATTTCCACAACTAGCTGTCTGCAAAGCAAATGGTTGCGATCTCTTTATAACCGCTTACACTGAAGAAAACTGATGATGCTGTCCGAGCAGAAGCTTGATCCGTTTGAGCATGGTACTATGCGTGAACCACTGAAAGGGTACGGCTTCAAACTGGTCTGTTGGAATATCCAGGAAAACGTTTCGTGGGACTTTCGATTGCGATAGTCATTACAGGTGGATCAGATATTAGCCTTGGTGAGGGCGTCGAGAAGGAGAGCTTTCTCGAACAGAGTACGACGGGGCAAGTTAGGTGACGTAGGTAAATATTAAACATGATGATGTTGCCCAAGCCTCGGGTAAAATCACTATGTTTAGCTTTCTCTGATGCTTACTAGGCAGTCATACGTTTCTGCTGGGGGAGTTTTGTCGACAAATGTTTAATTTTTCACCCGCACATGGATGGTGATAAACATCTCGGGGGCCGCTGGTGCGTTTGTTCTGAGCCTTTCTTTACACACTGGTATATTTCAGCGTCTGTACGGGCACAGAGCGACTTACAACCTGCAAATAAAGCACGGTTTGTCAATTGCTTCCTTCATGAAGTAGCAGACGCTCACAATTCAAGCTCGCCGTTTGACTCCGTTGCCCGCGGGAGGAAATTTCTGTCAAAAAATCTGCTTTTTTTCCTTTCGGTTCCGCAACCCATCGTAGCAGACGAACTTCCGTCGTCTGCTCCTGCTCCTCGTCGGCCTCGCCGGGACGAGGCATGACGGGATTGCATTTTGGCGCACTCCCGATTTTCTCGGTGCAGCGAGTGAATGCACCGAGAAAATAGGGAGTGCGCCAAAATGCAATCCCGTCATGCCTCTCTCCGGCGAGGCCGGCCAGGCGCTGAAACGAAC